TATAAGCGTAAAGAGCGTTTTCATTGATATTTCAGTTCGTAAATTATTATACTCCATTCGGATAATTGATTTGCAATATCAAAATATTTTACAAATATTAAAATTATAGAGATTGATATTGTTCTCGTGAATTGTTAACTCGTAGATTTCCCTTGTATAAAATTAGAATTTTCCGAATTCTGTCGAACCGCTCGGTACAAGTGGAGAGAAAAGTATGAATTTCTCTCGATGTGAAAATGCAGTTAACAATCTTACGAAACTACTTAACACGTTAACCCAATTTATCGATGAAAGCACACAAAAATCTAATTATAGCCATACAGCATGAAATAATTAAACAAAACCTCGGGAGAGCTCGAGCCATCCTTGAAATGCAATTGAGGCGCAGCAGCGACAACAAATTAGCGGAGGAAGTCTCGCGCACTTCGTGGTCGAAGCTAATTATGGCGAAGGAGAGATCGTCGTGCCCTAAGCTCGAAATTTACGGTAACTCCCGTTACTAATGCGACCCTATTGGACCTCCTACTTAAGTCTAGTGACTGGCTCTCCTAAGGATGCCGAAATACCAACACGGAGCTACGCTTAAGAAACAGCGCAAAAGAGTGAGACAATGGAAGAGTCTAGTAGTGGTGCCGCATTATGTCGGCTTCATCAGTCGAAAGGCGGCGCATTAGCATTACTAATGACGTGGATCGTTATCACCACGTGCTCTTATCCATGCACTATTGACCAGACACTTGGACCTTCCCTCCCCCTCTTTCACGATTCTAGGCTATGAAATACTGGGCGCACTAGTTATATTAGTGCATAAATTCAAATAATGTCGATTTATATGCTCACAAGCTTCTCTCACTAATAATTAGATTGCATATTAATTTTCTCTTTTGATTACATCGGTTAACAGCCACTGCCTTTTATTCTAATTATTCCATCAATGTAATTTACACCAAATCCTGTATATGTTTCTTTCTAATAACGAATGTGTTTGTCAATTATATTGAAATTTTGTTTGTTATTAATGAAAATTTAGCTCATTTCCAAGTACTATCCAACATTTACATGTATTGATAATAACTGGATACATACATGTATATATATATATATATATATATATATATATAATTATTAATGGAATAAAATTAATGGTATTAATTATGATTTGAACTGTGATATAATTTTAAAGAGGTCCGCTTTCAGATACTGAATTCCAAAGATTAATACTATTTTTGTTTTCTCTTACTTCGCATACTGATCACTTACTGATTTCATGCATTTATTCATATAATTTCATTCATAATTTATTCATTTATATATACATTGAATCATCATTATTTTAGGCTCAGAATTTGTAACTTATGCATTTGCCAATATTTTTATAAGAATTGAATAAATAATTTTGCCAGCAATATGGTGACTTTTATTTATCAATATTTATTAAATAATGAAAATTGAAATAATGAAAATTCATATTACTCATATAATAAATGTCCAGCGATGAACTGTTCTTATCTCCATTCCACTTGATACTTGATATTCGAATTGATTATCAAGCAACGAGTATCGTAAACTAGGTTAAACACATATGTAAATGCATCATGCATTTGTAGAAGAAATAATTTTGTTTTTCTATTCTATTCAACTTTATAGTTTCTCGATTGATAAGCCAGAATTTTAGATTTTTAATGCTTTTCTAACTACGCCCTGATAATTCTTGATAAAAAAAGTCTAAAGATACATTGCGACATTTTTTTAATTTTCAAATTTATGAATTATTATTGAATGATATATTATTTCATGAAAGTTTCTTTAAAGCTGGAAATTATAAGTCGATTGCACTCTAAAAAAGGATTTTAATGTAGAAGTCATTCGATTAGGGAAGGATTTCTTCATCTTGTTGAATTGTTTCGTACCATTAACAAACTTTGTTCACATAATATGTTATTATGATATAAATAGTGAATTACATAATAATATACAATATTATAGTAATAAGTTTTAATCATTAATTAATATTTCATTCTCTATATTAATAAGTTACATATAAAGTCTGTAAAGCATTTTAGAGGAATTAAAAACTTTCTTATGTATTTATTAAATTATTATTTATTGTGAAATTAAAGTTCCAAATGAATTTTCATTATCATTTTTCACATAAGTTATATAAGAATTATTTTATTTCTTCTGCAATACACACAATCACATTAAATTAAAAAAAAGAAAAGAAGATCTTCTCATGTTATTATCATAATTTCCATCCCATGTAAATGACATAATCATGTAGTATTTTAATGCTTCTCGTATCAAAAGTCCAATATCTAATAATTATGGCAATATATCACCGATGTAACAAAATTGCATGAAATCATTAGCTGTGATTCCAATATTATACTAATTTAAAATATATAAAACATCTAATCAATTAGAAAAATAAAAGAAACGTAAACAAATGGTAATAGAAAATTGTGAAAATTAGAACATTAGATACTAAACGTGTCTTAGATATTCCGAATAAAACAGGTTTTTAGATAATAATCTAGTTATAATAGAAATCAATGTTCATTAAACGGCAATGGTAATCTTCAAATGACAATAATGGCGAATCAATAATGGTATAATCGATAGATTTTAATGAGACATTTTTGAGATCCTCGACAACGAAAATAAGATAAGCTATATCAATATTACACAAAACCGACTTGTAATAATAAATTTATTTTCAAATACCAAAAAACTTTTATTTAGTAGAATTGCCATTGTCTAGACAAATAACAAAATTATTTATCTATATCAAAACATACAATTGAATATTATAAATTAAAAATATGTTTTAACGTAAATCCTTTTCAAATAAAATAAATATTATTCATTATAATCTACAAGATGTCTGAAAATATTTAAATAAATTACAAGCTTTAGTGGGTTAGGGACAATCTACATGAATGCATTCATAACAAATAATTTGAGGTATACATTAATGCATTTTTAATAATTAGTTATCTACAAAGAATATTTAATGTATTAGAAAAGTCAATATAATGAATATTATTGTGTATTAATATGAGAATAAGCAATTGGCCAGAATAGGTAAAGTAATAAAGGAAGATTTTTCACGATTCATTTGTTGTAATAGCAATTAACAGTTTCACTCAATATCGTTTTGGCTTCTCAACCTCAAATGTAGTACAGACAGGCTTAACTGCACAATGTGCAGTATGGCTGCCGGTATCTTTACGTATACTAGATAAGGCTTCTCAACTGAAACAGGATACAATTTATCAACGGCTATCTTCACTTCATTTGACATGTACTTCTCGATGATACTGGTTTGTGGTACCCGAACCTGTACTTTAGTAAGACACGGTAGATGTGTCTGATTGTTGTAGAATTCTGGCACTATAAACTTTCGCCTGACAAGGACGTCATTATACTGAATAACGATTTACTAAACATAACGAAATGTTTACGTTTCTAATATATGCTGAAGAATATTTGGAATCATCGTTTCAACTCCACACCATTATTAAATACGAATCTCCATATTTCGAACTTTCAAACAGTGGGATACGCTTCTTCTTATTGTATTCGACTGAATTTCGTGGCGTATTTTACTTGATTAAGCACTGGGATTTGTAAATCCACCTGAAAATGATTTATATACTGAACAAATTTTGATAGATTTTTATTATCATTATGTTTTTGCTTGATTTATTATTTATTTATAATATTTTTCTGTTTCATGTATATGTTTGAGATATTTTTATCAACCCAAGACTTTTATTTCTGAGACTTTGAGAAAATTTCGAACTACATAGGCATAGACATGACTATTATTAATTATTATACCTAGTTGATAAATAATTTTTTGCCTTTATTTTTAGCTATTAGATATGAATACGCATTGAGTATAATTATTCTATGCATCACAGTTTAACAATTATATAATTAATTAAAATATAGATAAAATATATTTATGATAATGTAAAATAAGTTTAGTCGATAACTAAAATTATTAGTTTTTAATTAATCTTGTTAACGATACGAGTTCCTCATATTTTTATATGTTTCCTAAGTGCCTTCATCCCCAATATATTTTCTCTTATAAGAATATTATAGGAATTGACATTTTAATAATTAATAGAATTTTATTTATTTATATATAATGATGCTGGCCGTATAAATAAAATTAAAATTAATTTAATTACATATATATATATATATATATATATATATATATATATATATATATATATATTATAATTAATATATTATTAGTTAATTAATTAGAGCATAATCATTCCATTTGAAAATTTGACTTGAAAAATGACAATTGTATTATATCAATAATGTCGTATGAAAAATTTCTATACACTTTAAAAATTAATAATTACACGTATAGGTAAATAAATAAATCTGACATACTAAATTATATAAAATTTTTAAAAAAATTTTATAAAACTTCACGCTATATATTAAAGAAAATACAAATATTATTATAGAACGTTATTGAAAAATTACTTTTGTAGACTCGGACGATTCTATTTGAAGTCGATAAGATATTTGTAATATTTTTAAAATGATGAAAGTAATAAATTTGATGAACTTAAAATTTTCGCATTACTTTATATTACATTAATAACTTATAACGCAAAGGCAAATTATGTTGTTTTGCTTTTTTCTATTGTTTTTTCTTTTTATTTTTTGTTTCGGTTTTCGATTTTTGTAGAATTTGTATATATTGGCATATAAGATATTAAACGCAAAAAGATTTTAAAAGGTTATTCTATCATTGTTGTTGTTGTTGTTGTTGTTGTTGTTGTTGTTGTTGTTACGATTGTTATTATTATTATTATTATTATTATTATTATTATTATTATTATTATCATCATAGTCATCGTGATCGTCATTAAAATTTAATAAAAATATTCCCGTAAACTTTACAATTTCGCCAGGTGTGTATGCATAAGAGGTAATATAAAGCATCAAAAATCCATTTACTTCAGATTGCGAAAGGACAAGGGTGGAGGTGCTTGGTGCCCCAAGAACATGGTTACAAAGGAAGGTAAAGAGTACCTGGAGGTTAACCTCCACAGTCCACGAGTGCTCACGTCGACGCGTACTCAGGGACGGTTTGGCAATGGCCATGGCGTTGAGTACACCGAGGAGTACTACGTCGAATATTGGCGGGCCGACTTCACCGATTGGAGAAGATGGAAAAATCGCCGAGGAATGGACGTGAGTACTACTCCCATCTTCGTCTTATCACTTCTTTCTCTCCTATTCCTTTTGTGTTTTATCTTTGTCGATAGTTTACTCGTAGCTTGGCAATAGAAGCATTGGATGTGTAGAGCGGGAGCGCGCTGCGCTCGCTGCTCGGAGAATTTGAATAATGCAACGCGGGTAGGATTTGCTTATTTTCTCGTGATCCGAGATTGAGATTGTCGTGTTTGCGAATGGCGTCGCATTGAACTCTGATCGAGTATTTTTCGAAACTTTTGCATTGAATGTGAATAGCAGTATTCGTTTGGACAATTGGCAAGAGTATCATCGGTCACGTGTTAAATATTGTGATGCATCAAATTCAATTTTACCATTTGTTATATTCTACATTTTTAATTGATTCTTTATTCTAATCTTAAAACAATGAAGCGTATATTCAAGAAAAAATCGAGCGTGCATATGAAAATACCCACGTACATATATTAACTGCTGCGAGCTTTTATTCAACACATTAATAAAATCAATATATGTCTCATAATCAATATCAATATCAATATATATTAATATCGTGTATGAATTCGTGGTAGTGCTGTGTGACATTCGTCCATTAATGTATCGATATACTTTTAAATGGTAGTATTTACGGTATTTGTTAAAGAAGAATTAAGAAGAAGTTTTACTTATATAAATGATTTTATAACTATGTAGATGCTTGCAATATAGCGACTGAGTAAGTTTAGTCGCAAGTTTATCCATCACATATGTGATCAATAATATTTATACGCCTTGTTTCAACGCATCCATGACTATTTAAAATATTAAAGTCCTCGAGTAACAATACAATATTCATAATCATCGTTAACTTCCGCATTTACATCTTGTACTTTCATTATTGTAATAATATATATTGTCCAGAAATATAATTAACGCGTCCAATTAACATTGTATTAATTATTGAAATTGCTATATAGACGAGCATTATCCACGTAATTATAAATGAAATATGGGTAAAAGATGAAACTTTTGTTTTTATGATTATTAAGCTACTAACTTACTATGGACTATGGGTAAGTAGTGTAGAAAAACATGACATACCGTCGCAATTGTTCGCCTACTAGAGCAATTAATCGCTCAATATTGAGGAGAGAAATGAGTTTTCAAAAAGGGAATTACCTACACTCAGGTACTAATTGTGCGAGCATTTATTGCACCGTCCTAGCAAATCCAGACCTCATTTTACATTCTAAACGGTCACCCGCTCACTCTACCCTCGTTAGGTCATATTAATCGCGAATCTACGAGTCCATGATTAAGTGGACCTAATGTATCTATGTCAATGAAAGGCCAGAGCACATCGACGCGAACTGCATGACAAAGTATGCGTGTGCTTTTGTATAAGTATCGATTGCATCCAGAGATGATATTAAGCGACAAAGCTACTCTCCAAGCCCAACACAGATATTTCGCAGATATCGTACGACTTTCTTTACGACTCTTCCAATTTTATTTCTTATTTATAAAAGCTCGAAACGAAGTAGAACGAGAAAATCTGATATTAAAATTGTCCAACTATATCAATGATGCTAATAAACATCATTATATTCGTTATTTTTATTTTTCCGATTCTCAGTTAAAGGTTTTGAGTAAAAAATTACTCAATTACTTACTAATAATTAACGAATTATTATATAATCCTGCAAAATACATATATATTTTTAAATAAAGAACAATATAAGGCATTTTGCATTGGTATTAACATATAAAATTAATTTTATTGATTCATAGGCATCAGTTTGTAAAATACTATTGTTAAAAATTATATATATATATATATGTGTGTTTGTTTGTTTGTTTGTTTTTGTGTGTGTGTGTCATTAATATTCTAGAAAGGTACCAATATATTTGATAAATGCGTTTACATTAAATTTTCATTACGAATTATAATATGTAATTAAAAATTATGATTTTCTGCCCTTATAATTAAATTCATATCTATATTTATTGAAAACAATAAGATATATGTAATCGCATATATCAATTTATGATTATAAAAGATACTTTGTGTGTGACCCGAATAGAGCTCTCGGTATGTTGAAGCTTGCAATATCAGAGCTTTACAAATATAAAAATGGTGTTTCTATTTTTCGAGTGAATAAAAAACTTTGCGAGTTAAGTGATCACGTAGATAGTGCCCTTTCAGTGTTACGTGATTGCGCTTATACCTAAAACACTCTACAGATTTCATTTCTTCAGCGCACATACGCACAAAGAGAGAGAGAAAGAGAGAGAGAGTGAGAGAGAGGAGAGAGAGAGAGAGAGAGAGAGAGAGACAGACAGACAAAGAGTAATGGCAAATCACTATAAATTGATACAGACTTATCTTAATTAATTCATACATGTCTTTTAATTTTTTTATCATTACTAACTGGGAATTATCAGAAAACTTTACAAGATAAATTTATATGAGCTTCTACACTTTACATTTTATCCTATTGCTATATTCAAATAAAATTAAAGCAATAACAATTAACTTTGTTAATTTGCGTATGATACAATTATATCTTATTGTTTAATAATATTTTGCAGGTCACTCTTTCAATTTTTAATTTTAACGATAAACGTATCGTGTAATAATTCATATATTGCAGGTAAATATTCTTATGCCTATAAGATTATATAAACGTAAGGTAAAATTTTTAATCTAAGCATCCCAATGATTCATTAATATTCGATTCATGATTTGTGTTAGTACATAAGTTGAATTTGTACTTTCTGAAATCTCATTGATTGCGTATAACTTATTTGCTTCCTAATCTTAATATCTAAATCCAATATGATGTTGGAAATAAACGTTCAATAGTTAATTATTAAATAATAAATAATTCAGCTTGTTTTGGACATTTTATATATGCACCATAAATTCATAGCCGACAACACTGCATAATTTTTTGAATTTTCGTGATAACACCTCATTTGACAGTAACATGCTTTGAGACTGCTCGCAACTCAGTTACCAATACTGACATATTTGATTTATTATTCCAAATCACCATATACGTGTGATTTATATTTAACGTGCATTTTAACAGTTATCTGTTTTTAAGAAACCGTAGAGAATATCCTACATTTTTTAATGCTCTTTCTGCTATTCATTAATTAAAGAAGAAGTTTAATATGCAGATAATAGACTTTTCTTATTACTTGCAAATATCTCGGTTATAAAATTTTATAATTCTGCAACAATGCAGATATTTACATATATCTTAAATTACTTATTTCATGTTTTATTTATTCTTTACATACAACTTAAATTTTTATACAATCTAATATGAATTCTATTACATTTTTTTCATTAAAGTTTTACTTGTTAATTAATAGCCAACTGACCGACTTTAATTTAAAATTAAATATTTTTTTTTTTAATTTAAATTTAAGAACAACCATTGCAAATTGCCATTACATTTTACTCACAAGGCATATATCGACTGAAAAATTCAAACATTAATGCCAAACGTCAAGTTATGCCTTATTATACATTCGTTGCAGAAATTTACGATAATTTCGCATTTATTTCAAGCGACTAATAAAAATTATAAGGCTCATACTATAATAAAATTACTGATTTGTAATAATATAAAAATTATTTTCAAAACAATGCAAACAAGTTGAATTATTTAAGAAAAGTATGACATTTAAAAAATTTTAGTTTAATATTTCTGTCGCTGGTTTACTACGAGTTCATTTCAATATTTAATTAATTCATTAATTTTTTAGTCAATACGTTATAATGCGTGCGTGTCTATGTTCGCACGGGAATGTAAAAAAAAAATATCAAATATATATATATATATATATATATATATAATATTTATTCATATTGTTCAAAACAAAAATGATGTAATAATAGAATTAAGTGTAATATAAACCAGACAATGCACCATTATTTTACTGCTTTACTACCCTTAACGTTCTATCGCATCGACAATTTCTCAGTTTAGCCGAGGCTATTGGCCAGTCTGAGCCGTTAATGCAATGCAAAGCTCATGTAATATCGATAAAACACGTGTATACAATGCATAGTTTACGAATTAACTTTACTTTCCCAAGAAGCCACTTTCTGCTTATGTATCGGATAATCTAATTGTTGACTCTCCATAGGCGAATCAAAGTTAGAAAAAGAGAGCAAGACGAAGATATAGATAGATAGATAGATAGATAGGGATAGATAGAGAGAGAGAGAGAGAGAGAGATTAAAGAAAATTTTCATATATTAAATGACAACTGAGGGTCATAAAATGAGATTGGTACGTAATGAATTTTGTAAGCAACGATCTTAATAATGACGGAATTTAATAAAAACCTAGATAAATAAAAAATTTTTTTTTCTAAGTTACTCCTATAAAATATATATATAGATAACTTGACTTGCATAAAAATATTCCAAACATACATAAATTTATCTGAAATTTTAGTTAAGTAAGATTATTTATTTATAATCGTTGGACCATTAAAGAATTGTACATTCGGAATAATAAAATTTTTTATAACGTAATATAATGAACATATTCTCTACTTTTTAAGGTAATAATAAAACGTTTTTTATTATAGCTATTTAAATAATAAATTATAAGATCAAATATAAAATATCTACCAAAACAATCTTATACAAAAAATAATAAAAATTGTAATTATGCAATCTTGATGTATTTAAAAAGACTATTACAATTTACTTACAAACACGCGCGCACGCACACATTCATGTATATTAAAAGTCATACTTTTAATTGTATTTATAAATTCAAACTAACTATAAATGAATGATACATAAAGTTTTTTGATTGATTTAAAACATTCATAATTGACTCTTTAATCAATAAATATTATATTTGACAAATATGACAAATATTAATTAAATTAATGTAAATACAAAAATTTTGGTGTTTTTCAATTTGTGAGCCTACTTTTATAATATTTGAAAATGAAACTTTCATCGTAAAAATACATTTTCAATTAAT